GGCAAGAAAAAAAGAAAGAAAGATAAAAAAGGAATAATTCAAATGATCCCTGTCTGTTAACTGTATGACCCTATACACTTAAGAGTATATGATCCTATACTCTCAAGACACCATCAAATGGCCAATAGACGCATGAAGAAATGCTCAGCCTCTCTAGCCATAAAAGAAATGCAAATCAAAACAACATTGAGATACCACCTCACTCCAGTTAGAATGGCTATAATCAAGAACTCTAATAACAACAGATGCTGGAGGGGATGTGGACAGAACGGAACCTTACTACATTGTTGGTGGGAGTGTAAACTTGTTCAACTACTTTTGAAAGTAGTATGGAGGTTCCTCAAAAGACTCCACATAGAGCTCCCCTATGACCCAGCAATCTCACTTTTGGGCATTTACCCAAATGTTCACAAACAAGATCATACTAAAGCTACCACCACAACTATGTTTATTACAGCATTATTTACCATAGCTAAGATATAGAACCAACCCAGATGCCCCTCAGTAGATGAATGGATCAAGAAAATGTGGTATATATACACAATGGAATTCTATGCCTCCATCAGAAAGAATGACATTGCCCCATTTGTTAGGAAATGGAAAGACTTGGAAAAATTATATTAAGTGAAGTAAGCCAGGCCCAAAGAAACATAGGTCTCATGGTTTCCCTTATTTGCAATAACTAGTATATGTCTGAGTCAAGGAGAAAAGGTCAGATAAGTTGATGTTAGGGGAATGAACCCCAAGATAAGTATTCAAATGTTTTTTTTCTTTCATGCAATTGTTTCTAACATATTTATAAGATGATTTCTATGTTGCTTCATATGTCCCTCCCCCACGGTATAACCCCTGCTTTCACTGTATTTGATGTTGGTATAATTTGTGGAGGGGAAGGGCAAAAACAAATAGTTTAACTAGGAATACTTATGTCAAAAAACAAACTTTACAACTTTGGTAAGGGGGGGGAGTAGAATCAGGTGGGGGGATATGGGGGTAGTATGGGAAGGGATGGGAAGAAGAAACAAAGAGGAGGCAACAATGCTTGATAAGAAATGTACTTGTTATCTTGCCCATGTAATTGTAACTCCTCTGTACAGTATTCTCACAATAAAAAAGAGACCATCATAAAGAAGAAAATTCATAGATCCGATAAACACTTATGACAAAGTAGAAGGATACAAACTCATCAAACAAAATTCAGTAGCTTTTCTGACATACAGTAAACAGACTGAAAAAGTAATCTGTAAAAAAATAGCCTTATAAAATAAAATATCTACAGATAAACTTAACTAAAGAGATAAAGAACTCAGATTAACCCAAGTGATCTTGAGCAAATATAGCAACATTGGAGTTTAAGATAGCACCTGGTTTCAAATTATACTGCAAATCCATCTTAACAAAAGCAGCATAGTACTGGCACAAATGCAGACTTGTAGGCCAATGGGATAAACATCCCAGAAATAAGTCACAGCTTACAGCCACTTGATTTTTTTTTTTTGCTCAAGGCTAGTGCTCTACCACTTGATCCACAGCTTCATTTCCAGATTTTTTGGTAGTTAACTGGAGATAAAAGTGTCATGGACTTTCTTGTCCAGGTTGGCTTTTAAACTCAACCCTTAGATCTCAGCCTCCTGAGTAGCTAGGATTACAGAACCCAGCTTGATTTTTTGATAAAGAAGGAAAAACATACTTTGCAGAAAATATATCCTCTTCAACAAAAGATGTTGGGAAAAACTGGATATTGACATATCAAAGAAACATAACACATGCTGACAAGAATGAAGAAGAAAAGATAATTCATACTGCAAGTTGGTGGGTAGGTAATTTGGTTCAGACACTACTGAAATGTGTGCAGGTTCCTCAACAAACTAAAAGTAGAACTCCTTAGGATACTCCTATGCCACTGGTGGCCAGATACCTGAAGAAATGTATGCCAACATATACAATAGCGACATCTACACACCCATGCTTAGTTCAGTAGTATTCATAATTAATTATTCATAATAATCAGCCTAGGTGCTCCAAAACTGGTGAATGGATAAAGAAAAATGTCCACATACACACTGTAGCATTATTCACCAATAGAAAGGAATGAAATTATGTCATTTTCAGGAAAATAGATGGAACTGGAGATGATGACATTAAGCAAGACAAACCAATCCCACAGAGTCAAATCTTATGTGTTGTTACTCAAGTCTAGAATGTACAACCTAAAAATAACATTAAATTATTTTAAAAGGGGGTACCCTATAGGATGCGGAACCAGCTCGGAGAGGGGAGAAGTGGGGATGATAGGAGCTGAATATAATCAAGTGTATTATGTTATGATGATAGTAAAAAATACTGTTAACATAGGAGAATTACGAAAGCAACAGAGAGGGTAACTTTGATCAAAGTATATCTTATATGCATGTATGGTGATAATACAATGAACCTCCTTGTACAATTAATTTTTATGCTAATACTAGGAAGTTTCTAGATGATTATGTCCTGTTAGACCTTTGGCAAGCAGCTATAGGAAGAATGGGTGGGCCTGCCTGCCCAGACCCCCATTCACACCCCACTCACACACAGAGATGGTAGTCTTTAAATATTTTTGGCCTAGAGAAATAGCTGTTTCTCTCCCTCCTGAGGAATAGCCCAAGGCTTCTTCCCACCAACTCTAGTGATATTTATGAGGGCAGTTGAAAGCCAGCCTCGGATGGACAAGTTTACCTTGGTCTGCCCACAGCTCCATGGCTACCCAGGAGTAGCACCTGAATTCAACTGTAGATGAGCTGTGGAAGGACAGGAGTTCATCCAGAGGGTAACTTCACCTCATAAAGCATAAAGAAAATGGCATTGTGCATAATTTTAAGTTTTACCATAAAGAAATAATATGGGAGGAGATAGATACATTTAACCTGATTTAAACATTAGAGTAGGTACACCTGTATAGAAACATTGATCCTGGGGGGGGGAGGATTTAGTGGGGGTAGGGGGAGGCTGGGAAGGGATGGGAAGGGGAAACAAAGGAGGAGGCTACAATGCTTGATAAGAAATGTAATCATTATCTTGCCCATGTAATTGTAACCCCTCTGTACAGCATTTTCACAATAAAAAAAGAAACATTGATCCTCACCCTGTGAACATTTACAGTCTTTATGTTTTTATATGTCAAGTGAAAATTAACTGAATAAGAAAAATGAAACTGCCTTGTGAATCAACTAAACAGAGTTTCACCACATTATCTCCAGAGCATTACCAGACTACCACAACAGGCTTGCTTTCAATCAGTAGCTTATACAGAGACAGAGATATTTGTGCCAGGCACTGTGCTAGCTGATACATAAATACATATACATATATATGCACATATATATCACAATTAAGAGTGAGAGATAGCTATTTTGATTTGTATCTCACTCAGAGAGAGAGAGAGAGGGAACTGAGCATTACAGTTTTAAGTGATCAGCCCAAAGTTACACAGCTAGAGGCCTAGCCCAGAGCCAAATCCAAGCCTGTCAGATTTAAGCCCCTATTCTTAGCCCAAATATGCCTGAACATAAGAATTACCTGGGGTGGTTGTTAAAAATGGATTATATGGGTTATCTCCTCTGGTGTCTAGGAAAGCAGTTCTTTTAACAAGTGCCTCAGGTGCCAAATGTTTAGGAAGAGCATCCTTCACCCTTGGCTGTCCACCACCACTGCTGACCAAGCATGTAAGGCAGACCAGTGCCCAGGCATCACAAACCACATCCACATGCTGGCTCTTTTCCACAACTCTGTGTAACAAGAGCTCTCTGTGCATCTCAGTATCAACCCACCTGTCTCCCAGGACGGAGACTGAGCCCAGGTTGTGATGGTATTTTTCCCAGCTCCTGTGGCACATCACTCTGAGCTGAACTTTCAGCAATCTGTTTGGGAATCTTAACAATCCTTTCCATAAGGTTTTGTGAGGAAATGCAGACAATTTATTTCACCTTCTAGGACTGTCTCTGTTTAACTGAGTGTTGTATCATAGGCTCAGGAATATTGAATCTATGAAGAATGCCTTCCATGCAGTTGATTTGTCTCTGCCTGCTGTGTCTTTTGCGTGGCTCTTGGTAGGGTTGAATAAAAAGTGTAGACTCTGAAAGGATCTCTCTTTGGTGCCACTGCCATGAAAAGTTACAACAGCTTTGAGACAGTGAGCATTTATTTCTATGTGCCCAAATCTGTGCTGAGCCAGTAGCTCTCACACCATCCTTATTAAATGCCATTCCCATTTGCTAAGGCTTAAAGAGACTAATTATCTTTGTAAGGTTCATTTAGCCTATAACAATAGTAGATAGAGGATTCAAACAGAATATCAGACTTCAAATTAACCACCTTGCTATGAGATCTCCAGGCACACACAGGGATAGGAGGCAAACAGAGGAAAATGAGAGCAGGGTTAGGACAGAGAATTAGGGCTCATTTGTTCTGTATTTAAAGCCAAATGAATGACTGCTATAAAAAATACTCCTGTTAAAAATTTTTGAGGAAAAAAAAACAAGAGGAGAAAATTATACTAAAACCATCTGCCTAGATTTTATGACTGGGTGTCAATACTTTTATTGCTTTGGGGGTAAAAGTTTGGGTTTTCATTCCTAAATATAAATGGTCTCTGGTTCCTGTGAAAATTAAATGAAGAAAAATAGTTTGAGCAGCAAGAAATCCACTCAAATGCTCTCTGTTGCTCACCCTTAGAGAACATTTCTGTGCTGGGCAGATGAGGATGAAGGTTACATTGGTGAGGATTCTGTTAGGAGTCCTTGTTTGTCAAGGGATGGCATTCCACATGAAGCTGAACTCCAGCACTGTTTATCCCTTCATTTTAGTCCATCCCTGACAGGCCAGGATAATCATGCTCAGTGCTTTACCCTCCTCTAAGAGCTGTCTACTTGACAGCCAAGTAGAAAACAAATAGGAAATACAATAGAAAATGTCTGCTTTCCCATGCTCTTTGCCCACAACTAACTTCCCTTCCTCTCTAATAGATATCGGCCAGCGAAATCGAGATGCTTCTGATGCGGCTACCTCGCATGTTCAAACAGGAGTTCACCGGCGTGGGAGCGACGCTGGAAAAGAGATGGAAACTGTGTGCCTTTGAAGGAATTAAAACCACCTAGCTGTGGAAGGGCAGGAGATGTCTGAGAGTGAACAGAGCGTGAAGGCAGCCAGGGCTGGGAGCCTGGGAGCAGGAGGGGTGGGACCCACCAGCGAGGGACCTGGGGCCTGACTTTAGTTACATCTGCGGCAGTGATCTTGTGAGGGGAAATGTAACCTTGTACCAATCCCTTACACTAAGCAAAAGCTTCATACTGTGACAGATGTTTCCTACGAAAACCAGTGATCCCCCACTCATAACGATGGCAAAAATCTTAAAATAGGCTGCATTTGAGAATAGCTCACCTAGCAAAATATTTAAAGTTAGTGAGGGAGTAGCCATGGTGGTTGCTAGGCTACGGAGTTGTAAATGTAATGTATAGCCGACATCATTAAATGACATTTTCCTGGCAGTCTTTCTGTTTTAGTTAAAAAACAAAAATAAAAACAAAAAAAATAATAATTTTGCAGTGATGAAAAAAATCATACCAAAAGAAAACTTGAATATGTGTCTGAAAAAGTTATCGTATTTTATAAATTAAGTTATATGCTGTTTCCAGGGACTTTTGCCTTATTGAAGAGGCAGAAACAATGATTGGACAACTTGAGAACGCTTTACCAAGAATATTATTTTTCTAATGTAACAATTCTCCATCCTAAGTTCTTTTAACATGGACTGCATAACAGTTTTCATAAAAATGTAAATAAAGGGAAAACTCGTGTTGCTGTCTTGTACTTGGTATGTGACATTCAGGTTTCTGCATTAAAATAAACATTCAGTAAATATTCCTGTTACAAATTTTATAGGAAAGACATAAATTTTTTTCAATAAATATTACTTCTACCATATTGGTTTTGCTAATATTCTTTGATATATTTTCATACTTCCTTAAGAAATTGTTTTCTCATTTTTCATTTCTACTTCATAGTTTATCATTAAAATTATTAAAATTGAGTGACAATAAGAGGCAAAATAGTGTTTCAAAGAGAAATGAATAACATGATCTGACACACTCAGAAGAATTCAACATTATCCCTGTGATAGCCTGACTAAAAACTATATGCCCTCATTTGGAGTCATGAGAGAATATTGGACAACTCAAGTTTATGAAAATTCTACAGAATTAGCCAGGACTCTTCAATAATTTCAAGGCCATGAAAGACAAAGATTGAGGGATTGTCATGGAATGGAGAGTCAGTTTAAATCCTGAGACAGAATAGGACATTAGTGGAAGAAAAAAAAAACTGTTTTCCATGAGTGTATCCTGGAAACCAGGTCCCGGAGTCTCAAGCCTATAATCCTAGCTACTCAAGAGGCTATGATCTGAGGATCCTGGTTTGAAGCCAGCCTGAGAGACTCTTCAATCATCTTCAATTAATTGAAGATCTTTTTTTAAAGGTAGAAGTGGAGGGTGGTTCAAATGGTAGAACACCAGCCTTAAACAAAAAAGACAAATGAGAGAGCTAGGCCCTGAATTCAAGCCAGAGTACTGGCAAAACAAAAAGTATGAAAGTACCAATATAGGAGATTGTGTGCCAGAATAGATACATGGCATTTAAATATAATCAACTTAAGTTTTACTTTTTTTCTGACCTTATGGGGAGTTACTATGTAGCTAATTGATCACATTGTGATTTTTTTCCCCTATGTGTTTTCTGGAAGAGCTTCAAGCTAGAAAACAAATGAAGAAATTCACATATGGGCAATTTGAGTTTCTTCTTTAGCTTTAAAACACCTCTACTCCTTGCTTTCTTATATCAAAAGACCATTATTGAAGATATTGATTACTTTTAAATGAAGCATTTTTAAGACAGTTGAATGCTCTTTGAAATAATGAAAAGATATTCAAAGTTTCCCATTGGACATTATTGTCCTTAAGGTTCTTTTTCTTGAACCCTAAAAAAATTAAGGTAGTTATCTATAACTTCTATATTTTATTCAGGCTTAGTGCCAATGCTGTAAGCGTGTAGAGAAATAAGAAGAGACTGTCTCTCACTCAGGTAGTGGTGGCTCACGCCTGTGATCGTAATTATGGGAGTCAGAGATTAGGAAGACCATGATTCAAAGTCAGTCCAACCTCCCCCACCAAAAACTTATGAGGCTCTATTCATCCAATAGCTGGGCACCATGACACATGCCTGTCATCCTAGACATGTGCAAGGCAGAGGTCAAGAAGACCAAGATTATTTATTTTTTTTGGGGGGGGGGTCCGGTCATGGGGCCTGAACTCTGGGCCTGGGCGCTGTCCCTCAGCTCTTCAGCTCAAGCGCTCTACCACTTGAG